CACGGTAGTTCTGCCCTGTTGGCTTTCCTGACATTGTTTCTATATATCATTTAAGTCTTCGTTTGTTGTTTATAGGTCATTGATGATCTCGAACCCTATAACGCTTGTTTTCATTTAAGTGATTAATAAGTGACGTCTGCTTAGTGCATCAACGACACGTTTCTGGATTCTAGCTTTGTCTTTAAGTACGAAATTAACAGATGACAAAAATTCTGCCCAGGTTATGTTTTGGCCTTTAAGCTTACTCTGGCTGTTCAAAAATTTCAAGGCTTCATGATATGTAAACAGTGTGAATTCACTTGTCAACAAATAGTGACTCCAGTGCTCTAGGGCTCGAACGATTGCATAGAACTCTGTCGTATGTTAAGTATTTCCTCCAGGGGTAGTTTAGTTTCTCACTAAAGAAGATGAAAGGGTGACTGCCCTGGCTCAGTATGACCCCTATTCTGACGCTTGATGCATCAGATTCTACTCTGAATACTTGTTTGAAATTAGATGAGGTTAGAACTTGTGCTTGAGTTGCATTTTCTTTTAGTGTGTCAAGGCTAGTTTGAGCAATTATTGGCCAAGTGAACTCTTTGCCTTTTAAAAGCTCGGTGAGGGGAGCGGTAACAATACTGAAATTTTTAATGAAGAAACGGTGATGCTAGCCCCAAAAACTGTCTTAATTCGGCGAACGATCACGGTGTGATCCAACTTATAATGGCTTCAATTTTTGTCGATTCCATTTGAATGTCTGCACTGGATATGATGTAACCCAAAAAACATACTTGATTTGTCATAAAAGTGCATTTCTTTCGATGGACGTATAGTTTCTCGTTCTAAAGTATTTCAAATATTGTTGTCAAGTGTTGTGTATGTCATTAAAGTGCATTTCTTTGAATGGATGTATGGTTTCTCGTTCTTGAGTACTTCAAAAGTGTTGTACACGATGAGGCTGCGAAATATATGATTCATTAATCTCATGAAGATGTTGGGTGCATTTGACAGAACGAATGACAAGACTGTCCACTCGTATAGTCCTTCTCGTGTCTTGAAGGCGGTCTTCCATTCGTCGCCTGGTTTCATCGGTATCCGGTGGTATCCATTGTGTAAGTCGATCTTTGAGAACAGCGTGGCTCCATGTAACTGGTCCAAGAGCTGGACGAATTGGGAATTGGTACCTGATAGTTATTTTGTTGATGGCTCTGCTATCAATACACATCCTCTATGATCAATCTTTCTTGGATTCCATTAGAGCTGGCCAAACGCACGAACTCGTATTTTCTCTAACTAGCCTTTTGGTCACAAGATCTTGCACTTATCATTGTAGTTCCTCAGACCCCTCAAGGATGACAAGGGCTAGTGCCATCGGTGCTTCTTGAATTGACTGCATGAATGTGGCTCTTGAAACGATTGTTTCCTCGGTATTTTTTACTCCTCTTGAGTATTTACTTGGTTGTAATACGATGAGTTTGTCATCTTTCTTGAATGAGCGTGTGTTTTTAAACCCGTCATGCTGAGCTTTGCGGTCGTATTGCCCAAGTCATCCCAGCAGAATATGGCATGCTTCCATGGGATAGAAGCCACACCATACTTGTTTCTTTAGCTGGTTGTTTATCGATAACTCAACAAGGCACTATTGATCCACGTGAATTTCATTTCCTTTTTTTAGCTAAGTGAGGGAATAAGATTGTGGTTGTTTCTATGTGGGTAATTCTAACTTTGTCAGCATTTGTGTAGAGACGACATTTTCAAGACTGCCGCTATCAATTATTAGACTGCAAACTTTATCTTTTTACTGTACACTTCGTTCAAAAGATGCTATGTCTTAGCCATGATTGATCACGTGTTGGTTTTGATTATAAGACTCGTCGTATGACTAGCAATTCGTCTTCATCCTCTGGGAGCTGAAGTGCTTCAACGAAATTTTCTTCTGGTTCCCTATCCTCGATTTTCTCCATGACTCCTTGGTCTGTGAACAAGACAATTCGGTTTGTGGGACATCTGAAGGCAATGGGGCCGAAACCCTAACATCTAAAACATTTTTTGGCTGGCATTGGCCCGGATGAGCTTCCATTCTCGAGTTTCTTATCACCTTGGTCGGTTATTGTATTCCTAGACGCTGGTTTCCCCATTCCTGGTGAGTCTTTGTTGTTAGTTGTTGCTGCTGGGGTTTGTTTGTATGAGGATTGCTGCTAGAAGGAAGACTGTGGTATAGTCTGCTTTGTTGCCTTTCAACTTTTAGGGCTAAGATTTGGACATTACCCAGTGACCAACAGGGTTGTAGTTGAACTACGTTGCTAATGGAGGGCTTCAGGCCTCCGAGATAGCAGACGATGGCATGCTCCTCTTGTTCAACCGAGTCACACTTTATTTGTAACTGATTGAATTTGACTGTAAATTCCTCTACAAACATCTCCCTTTGTTGTAGGTTGTAGTCTCAGAAACATATCTTGGCGGTAGTGTGGCGACAACTATTTTCGCAGTAGCACTTTTCTCATTTTGTCCCACTTCGTGATTTTGTCGCAGTCATCCCTAGTTCGTTGATGTTGTAGGTTATCCCATTATAACAAGGCGTGCTTTTTCAGTTTAATAGCTGCTAGTTTGACAAGATAATCTCTAGGTATCTCCTTGTATTTAAATGTTCATTCGACCGCTCGCAGCCAGTCAAGGAATTCATCTAGATCCATACCTCTGTCAAAATCGGGGAGATCTATCTTAATTTCGAAGTCTCGGTGGCCTCTGGTAGTGGATGCCAAAACGGCATGGACGACATTCGTCGTCGTTGTTATCTTCCCTGTAAAATGGATTGAGGTCGTTGTCCTTATCTTACTGTCGACTCTCTAGATCACGAAAGAGGGTGACCTCGCCTTCAGTCCCTTCATCGAGTTCTGCCAATTATTATTGTAGACGGCAAATTTTACGGTGGATCGCATCTTTAGGGAGGGGTGAAAAGAGGGACAAGGCTTGACGAATAAACAAAAGAGAGTTGAAAATGAAGGAAAAGAAAAAAGGTGGAGTGGAATCTTTGGCTTGGGTAGGGGTGCAGATGCTAGGGAACCCTAGGATAGGACTAGGGTTGGGCTAGCTCTAATATCAAATGATACAGGAGTTAACCTAAACCACGATGAAAAACACGAATCTATTAATAACGTAAAAGACGATTACAACAGTGATTTAAAGGAAAGAAAGACATTGCGTAAATCAAAACATTATAACAACACTCAACATATAAAGACACAACAAGCTTGATGAGGAGGGAGTCCGGAGAGAGGGATAATGGAGCGGTGACTACGATGAAGGCCAAAATGATGACAGGTAAATTACGCAACGCTCGTTGAGGCGTTGAACCCTAGGCGGAAGAAGCAATAAATGTTGTCGAAGACTAGAATCTGGAAGCGGCTCGAATGGTGGCTGCGGTCAAGGAGCGGAGGCACAAATGGCGACTGAAGCCGAGGGGCGAAGGCACAAACGGGGCCAGAGCCAAGCAACGGAGGGAAGGAGGCAGCGACCTGCTAGGAGTGAGGCGGCAGGAGGTGTGGGCAGAGGAGCATTTGGCGGTGGTGCTGGAAGAGCGACAGAGAGTTGCGACTGCAGGAGGCTACAGTGGAGGCGTCTTAAAGGGGCAGCAAGGAGCTGCGACTTCAGCTTCCTCCAGAGGCATCAAGGAGCTGCAACTGCAGCTTCCACAGGCGTCTAGAAGGGGCAGCAGGGGAAATCGACTGTAGGGAAGCTGCAATGGATTGGCGGCAACGTCGGAGGAACAACAGGGAGAATCGGACGGCTGTGAGCTAGTAGGGGGTGGTCGACAGTGCAGGAAGGTGGCTAGAACGACGGCGGACTGTGGGACAGCGTCTGGTGGTTGAGACGACAAAGAAAATCACCACCTCATATGGGGTTACAACTGAAGCACCTTCCGTCGCGGATAAAACCCTCGGGAGGAAAAATATTCAGACAAAACTGAATTTAGATTTAAAAAACAAACACCCCTAACACTAAACACTTCATCTCCTATTTATAAAATACTTGACCCTTAATTTAGAAAACATTTAAATTAGGAAAGGAGAATAAAATAAAATAAACATCTCAGATTTTAGGAAAGGTTTAAATTAGGGAAGGAGAATAAAATCAAGATCTCAGATTTTAGAAAATGTTTAAATTAGGGAAGGAGAATAAAATCAGGATTTAGGTTTTTAGGAAATCATTTAAATTAGGAAAAGACCTAGGAAGGAAAATAGGAAGAAGAAGAAAGGAAATAAATAGAAAGGGAGAAAAAGGAAAGAGGAGGAAGGAGGGGGCGGTGGGGCCCCCCCTCCATGAGGACCGGCCGGTCCAATTGGGCTGGACCTGCGCCCAGCTGCTCCCCCATGATCCCCACGTCATTACCTTAAACACAACCTCTTTATCGATCCCTCAACAACATGTAGAAACCCTAAATCAGTGTCAGAAGAGCTCTAGGAGTGTTAACAGTTCAATTTGGCAATCTATTACAGGACCTGTATGTGATCAAACGGTAAATTCAAAAGCTCATATTAGGCCATACAAACAGCATGATAAATAGAAAAGAAATGTTTTAAGGATGAGAAACTTACAGCCCTATGACCTATCATTTGCAACAGAATATGTTATGATAGCCAATACAGGTAAGGCAATCATTATGGCACATAGTAATTGAGCTGTTTTGACAACTTCATGAAAAGTCGAGTATGCCTTATTACAAGACCTGATCATTTATCATTCACAAAGTGAAACTTGAGGTAAAAGGGACAATCATTTTGGCTATGAACATTTCACAAATCTGGAAAAAAAAAAAAGTAAATACCAGCAATAACATTTAAAGGTAGTTAAAAAGATATTATGATGGGAAATAAATCATCGAGACCGAATAAAGAGTATTAATAGGATAAGTTCACACTATTGGAATTAGTTTTTATTCCTACAAAAAAAGCAGTCAATTTAAAGACTGAATCCCTTTTAATAGTTATGCACTCACACAAACAGTCGGAAAGGGAACGAACCAGACGCAAGGTGCCGGTGTAAATTTAGACGTCGTTGCTGAGCAAATGCAAGCACAACAGCCTCCTCCACCTAAGAAACGATATGCGGGCAAAGCAAATGTTGAAGCATTGAGTGAATCATAACAAGATAAAATAAATTTTTAAAAAGGATTAGAAATAAATTAGGGTGATGACAGTAGCATATGTTGTGCTTAAAAAACTTCACCTAAGCATATTCAAAAAGGTTAAAAAATCATGCATCTAACAATATCCACTGTGGTCTATGTCATTCCTAAGCAAACTCAAGGAGGGATCACAGGTATGGACCTAGTTCCAGAAATGGAGGGCAGTTGAATTCAGTCCAGTTAGATTGAATATGCAAACAAAGCAAACCTATCGCAGCATATGAAACATACTAATATATGCAAACGCTCAACTCTGCAATTCATGCACGCCCAACAACCATCTGGCATCTCGCCTAGATTGCCCAGCTTCTTCCAATCTCCCTTTGGCCTGTAATGCTCTCATCCAATAAAACTTTAGATCCTCCAACTCCTATGTCTTCCTGTAGTTGCTGACCATAAAAAATTTTTAGAAAAATCATACCAGAGTCCATGCCCTTCCCTTTTCTTGCGCGGTCCAAGTCCACATTCATGTTTATTAATAAAATATAATAATAACAAAAAACCTAAACTCTCCACACAATCCCCTCAGCCACTTCACTCATGTTCTCACTCTTTAGCCCCCACTCTTACTGTCATTCTCCATCTCATGTCTCACTCTTGGACCAGCTCCTGCCAAGGGGCCACCTCTCCCTCCAGCCACCTGTGCCGTCATTCCTTCCAGCCACTCACAGAACAGATAGCGGCCCGCTGCCTCCTCTTTTCTTCTTCACCCTCCTTCCACCTCCATCCTCTTCCTTCCTCCTCCTCCTTCCTCTACCTTTCTCTTCCTCTCCTCCCCCCCAACATCTTCCTCCTCCTTCCTCTTCCCCTCATCTCTTCCCACTTCCTCTCTTAATCGATCTCAATTTCTATCTCTACAGATAGATATAAAAAAGATTATTAAAAAAAAACAGAGAAAAATAGAAACGAAAAAAGGAAGAAAAAAGAATAAAAAAGCGGATAAAAGTTTAAGGTTGGTATATGCCACCACAGTCACAATAACCCATCAACTACACAGATGGAGGACAAAGACATGTTTCTAGCGCTCACTTGGTTCCCTGGATGGAAATCAACCATGCGAACTATTGTTGAAAGAAATGTTTAAATTATTGGCTCAACACCAAGATTTATCTATCTTGAACTTGTTTATAATTGTGGTTACCACCAAAACCCATGGCTACATCCATAAAAGCAAACATGCCCAATCTTTAATGAATCTCTATCTACGTACCCGTTTAAGCTTTTAACTCCCCACAAAATCTTATCTCCAGATACTAATATTTCATAATAGATGCCATCACCTTGGCCCCAGTAAGAGAAGTCCTTCTCTCGAGTTTGACAAGCTCATAGGCCAAGGGATGAGCGAATTCAAACATCTGAGTCCAATTCTTCTTTTTAATGTGAAGGTGCAGTTTACTTCTAATGAGTAAAGTGCCAAAATAATCTCCACACTACTTATGTGGAGTCGTTTTAATCCCAAAGTTTATAAAAGTACTAAATTAATTCCCATATTCTTTAAATTGGGGCTGAAATAATCTTTTGTGGGGACTGTTTAGCCCATATTAAGAAAATCTGGGAATTAAATTGGCATTCTTACAGACTCTAGGACTAAAATGACCCCATAAAAAGGGTACAAGGGACTAATTTGACACTTGTCTCACTTCTAAAAGAAAGAAATGACATAAACTACGCCGCTAGAATGTGAAGCTGTTGAAATTCTAGCTATAGTGTTTGCACATTACAATAGCTACAGCAAATGAATGAGAAAAAAAAAAGAAGCAACCTTCAATGCTGCAAGTTCTCTCAAACCCTGCTCAACAGAAAGCATACTCTCAATGTTGCCTTCTCCAGCTATATCATTTAATTCACGTACCAGTTTATTTCTCCCAGAGTTTTCATTTCCTATTAAAAAAAAAAGGGAAGATTTAAATACAAACCACTCAATTCCTATGTATTTACATATCTAATACCTAAACTTCAATTTTTACATATATGACATCTTACCTATGCATGAAAAGGTGAATTTCACATTTTAAAAGTTAAAATGGTGGTAGTTTTTATGTGATATGAATGTGATATGAAAGATTTGGGTGTTATAAATGTAAAAAGTAAATTTTGGTGTTTGATAAGTAAATATATAAGAATTGGGTGGTATGTATGTAAATGACTTAAAAGAAAAACAAAAGCAAGGATATTGCACATACATCTAACTAATACAAATGCCAATTATCCAGCATTCACATTTGTGGTTTAATAACTTACCTTTATTTGAAGATTCTTCCTTTGCCTTTTGTCCAGCAGATATAACAACTTCGAGCGGGAGGGGAGCTAGTGAGGACCAGTACTCATATTTGGATGCCGCAATGTCTAGATGGACACCTGCAAGATTAAATAAAATAATTACACAATTTGTCTGCCAATGTAATGATTTACTATATAAGTATAAACTATAGTTTTTACAATTTTATCCAAACAAGGATTTATATGGTACATTCGGAACTTTTACCATCCATCCAGGAGATGTGACAACCTTTTATGAGAAAAGAGACGTGAAATGGTGCAAGATCGAACCTTAAAAACATGCACATATAAATATATGTTGAGATTTGGAAGATCAACACAATTTTATTGATAGGAGGAGGGGCATTTAAACCCAATTACAATAGGCACAATAAAGGAAAGGAATAAAACCAAAATAAAATAAAAACAAAAAAAAAGCAAAATAGGAAAAACATAATCAGAAATAAGAGCAATTAATAAGTAATAATGGCTTTCCAAAGCAGTTATAATAAAATAAATCTAATACTACACCTCAAGTTGAAGCATAGATGTTAGTCATTCTTGGTGAGAATGTTCGTTAGTTGACCACTGGAAGACATATATGGAACACAAATCTCCCTTGACTCGATCTTTCTTTAATGAAGTGTCTGTCGATCTCAACATGTTTGATACGATCATGCTTGGACATGATTGTGAGCAAAACTGACTGGGCCTCATTATCACAGAATAGTTGCAGTGAGACACATATTGACATACGGAGTTCGCTGAGCATGATGTGTAGCCAGAGAGCTTCACAAATTCCTACGAACATCGATAAGGATTCAGCGTCAGCACTGGTTCGGACAACCACAAACTTTTTCTTGTTCTTCCATGTGACATGATTATCACATACAAATGAACAATATCACGAAATGGAACGTCGATCATGAACCGATCCGGCCCAATCAACAATTGTATAAACAACAATAGACCGAGAGGTGTGACGGGAAAACAACCCTGAGCCCAGTGTACATTTTAAGTAGTGGAGAATCCGGCGGACAACTTGGAGGTGGTGCATATAACTTGGAGGTTTATACATGAATTAACTCACTATTCCAACTGCATGACATATGTCAGGGCGAGTATGAGCGAGTAGATGAGTTTTCCCACTAGGTATTGGTAATGAGTATTGTTGACAGATATAACATTAGAAATGTCAGCTAATTTTTCATTATAATCCATAGAAACAACAATAGGTTTATACGGAAGAAGGTTGTTCTCTATCAAGAGATCAATCACATATTTGTGTTGAGACAGACAAATTCCCCGAGAGGACCAATCCACTTCCGTGCCTAAGAATTACTGTGGAGATCCCAAATCTTTCATCTCAAAGGATGACGCCAGAATGTCTTTTTTGAACTCAAATGTTGGGAGATCGTTACCTGTAAGAACAATATCGTCAACATAAATAATAAAAATAGCTACCTGACCACTGGAGGATTATCGGAAGAAGTGTGATCCGATTGAGCTTAAGACAAAACATGGCCCACGACCACCTTTGTGAATTTGTCGAACCAGGCCCTTGGAGACTGTTTTAGCTCATAGAGGGACACGACCAACTGTTTTACCTGCACACTTGCCCTCTGCATGCAGTAAAATCAAAACCAAGAGGGAGAGACATGTACACCTCTTATGTCAGCTCTCCATTCAAGAATGCATTCTTGACATCTAGTTGGAATAACGACAAATCCAGATTCGCCGCAATAGACAACGAGACACAAATAGTGTTTAACTTAGCTACTAAAGCAAATGTCTACTAATAATCAACTCCGTAGGTCTGTGAGTACCCTTTGGCGATCAATCTTGCCTTATTACGTTCAAAGGACCAGCCAGAGTTGAAATTAGTGCTAAAAATCCATCGGCACCCTACAACTTCCTTACTCCGAGGAAGATCCACAATGTCCTATGTACGGTTCCACTGAAGGGCACTCATCTCCTCCATTACAACCGTTTTCCATGCTAGATTAACAAAAGCAATCTCAATAATAGCAAGGACTTGATGGTCCGTCAGGGCAGTAGCAAATGCTCTATAGACCGATGATAAACTATGGAAAGAGATATTTTTTGCCATAGAATAGAAGAGGTATGTCTGATTTCTTAACTTATTCAAAGAACTCACCTCCTCTATTAGAGGAGGGGTTTGTTGACCTCATTTTTTATTGATGAGGTCTAACTCTTTCTCCTAGAGCCTAGGATCTAGCATTTGGATTTTCCTATTAACTATCCTAGAATACTAGTGAAGGAGCCCACCCCATTTAGAAGTTTCAACAATTTATTGACTCTTTTTGTGAAATCTCACATGGGTGGTCTCAAACCCTCAATTCCTATTCGAGATGGTTAGGACCAACATGTGAAGACTAAAAAATGAGTTCCTGTAGAATCATCAAACCCTAAAAAACCCTCGCGACACGAATTTGAGATTATTCGGCACGAACCAAGAGGTTCACCGCCGAGAGCGCTTTGTTAGACATTGGTCGCCTCTTAGGCGAGGGCCTGTCAACAGTTCGCTAATCGAACAGCTCCGGTCCGATCGATGAATGTCATTCACTGCACCGCGCATGAAATTAACTTAAATTAGCTCGATCGTCAACAAACTTGTCCGAATGACACCAAATGACGAAACAGATCTCGGGAGCGCATCCGGAACGTCTACTTAACATAGAAAGAACACCCATATTGCTATAGTTTTGTGTATAGGTAAATTGAACGTAAATCGATGCACATAAAATCTTCTTTTTAACATTCATTTAGCTGATAATGATCCTCCTAAGGGCGGCACTTCATTGAAACATGCTTTAGATCAAATTCACAGAAATAACACCACAAAATTCTCAATAACAACGTAAAACTGCCTCCTCGCCGCGCAATAACAATTATACAAGCCTAATCCAATCGCAAAACGCCAATAACAAGGCACAATCCCTATAAAACCACAAAAAAAACCCTCAATGCCACCACAGAAACACCTCTCAAACCTTTGATAACACCAAAATCCTCGTCGCGACCTTCAGCCAAATAACACCACGGCCAAAATCCCGCAATACTACCACCAAACCGCGGCCAAAACCTCAAATAACATCAAAATACTACCTCTATAAGCTCCCCAATAACACCATTCCTCCCGTCGCCGCGGTAATCCGCCGAATAACATCAGATCACCGAGTAAAACGCCCCAATACACCCACATTTCATCCATTTCACGACAATAACACCTCAGTACACCACCAGTAACATCAAATTGCGCCGCAAACACCAATACCCGCGTCGTCCCATAATACAACCACAATAACACCAAAATACTACCCTCAATAATGCCACCCGCGCCGCCGCGCCAAATAACACCGTGAAACTCCAACTCACCACGCAATAACATCACGGAAACCGCACAAACTCGCTAATACACCCGCAAAAACTACAAAAAATTGTCAATAACACCGATGTCCTACTCCCTGCGCGCAATACACCCAAGGTAAAACCTCAATAACACCTCCAATAATACTATTGACTGCCATCGCCACAGAACCACGGTGACACCTTGAAAAACACATTTTTCGCGTTTTCTCGCCTATACATCGTGAATACTACCGCGATAACAGCGCGAATAACACCATAGTTGCGGAATGCCAATAATACCGCAATACACCCATGAATAACACCTCCCCAATTTCGAAAAAATTTCTTTAAAAAAAAAAGAAAATGAAGTGAAAAAATATATTAAATAGGACGGTCTTTTTGAATTGAAATCCTCCGCACATGCTTGAAGCCGTACGTCCCCCTGCCTCCCACTTCCCTGTAACCTCGCCGATGATTCTATTTATTTTTCACCCCTTCCCTGTGTTCTTGCCCGACCATTTTTTTTTACTCTCCCCCATTATCATTGGCTTGAGCTCACCACAGGTAAAGTGGAGGTAAATTCCTCCTCCCTCTCGGATATAAAACCCTCTTTGGGGGGAAGGTTGTTGTTTCTTTTGGTTGGATTTTCCCTGGTCAACTCATCTCTAGTATGCTTGAGTTTTTTTTAAGACTTCGTTATTTTCAGATCTTTTCTTTTATCTATGTTAGCAAGGCTTTTCCTGAATCATCATTGTATGGGCTTTGATTGTGTGATGGCCTTCTTATGAGATTTAATATTTTATTAGATTTTGATGGTATTTACGTACATACCACCCAATTTTTATGTATTAACATGCGTGAAAAAAAGAACAACTTTTTACATACATACCACTCAGTTTCTATTTGGTTGCATAAAAAAAAAAAAAAAAAAAAAAAAAACAAAAAAGTTTAACTCTGCATAAAAAAAAAAAAAAAAAAAAGAGAACAAAGAAGATTTACATTCCTGCCACTTAATTCCTTTGTATTTATTATCCAACATCTAAGCCTTTTTTTTACATATATGTCATCTTAATTATGCAGGAAAAATGTGTGTTTCAACTTTTAAAGGTTAAAAATAATGATATTTTTTTATGTAATATGAAAAATTTAAAGTGGTATAAATGTAAAAAAAATTAAAAAAAGGAGTTAGGGGGTGGATCTTTTGTGATGATAAGCATGACGAGTGTGATCTCTAGATGTGATTTGATGGTTTAATATGTTCAAACTTTGTGATAATTATATTTGAAAGCTTAAATACATATCACACAGTCCTTATGGATTTACATATCTAACGTTTAGAGTTCGATATTTACCTTTATAACATCTTGACCTTATAAATCCATGCATGAAAATGTATTTGACTTATTAAAAGGCTAAAAATGACTGTTTGGATGTGATATGAAAAACTTTGGTTGTGTCAATTAGGTGTTGGATGTGTAAATACATAAAAGTTGAGTAATATGCCGGCAATGAATAAATATGCCAACAAATACCTTCCATTAAAGCACAATATCTCAAAAATAAGTATAAAAATGTGTACATAAAGACTATATATTTTAGGTATATCATATACCCATGACTATTGAGCCTAATAAAAAATCCAAGTGCAGAAAAAGAAAAACCAACAATTGATTCAGAGATCTATCAAAGATTGGTTGAAAAGCCTATATATTTGCCATAGTTAGCCAAATATATCCTACTCAACAAATGTAATCAGTAAGTTCATGAAAGATCCAAGAAATCCACATCTATAAGTTGTATAGAATGTGCAACATTATATAACAAATAATTTTAGTAAAAAAGCTAACGCGGGGGCTTGGGCTTGGGGTTGAGCTGACCCCAACGGTTCAACAGAAGAAGGCTCGGTCCAGCAGGAAGTTGAACTGGCCCCTCCTCCCTCTTTTCATTGGAAACACATTATTCCCCCCTTCTTGTTTCTGTTTCATGCATATCCATCTTCTATTTATATGTGAGTTTTTTGTCCTATGGTTTAGTTTTTGGCCTTTCCGAGTTCATATTTTTTTCCAACTAGTCGCCGACGATTGTTTTTTACATTTAGGGTTGTATCCGAAGGCGAGGAAATGCTTCGACTATAGCTCACCCAAGGTATTGATTTTCTCCAAAGTTTGAGGGGTTCTCTGGTTGTAACTAGATCCAGCAGAGATACTTATTTTTCCCCAACTCCTTCCTGCTATCCCTTTGCCTCAATTCCCTCCACCAGCCCTTCGTTCCTTCTCTACCTTAGCACCCAGATCTGGCCTCCCTCTATATTGTAAACCCCTCTTCCCGATCTGCCTACCTGCCTGCCTACCGCTCCGTTTAGCGCCTCTCTTGATGGTCGCTCAGCCGACAACCACTTCCCTGCATCACTAGCTTGCAGTACCTCCAATCTACTGCAGCTCAACCCACCTAAGTCATCCCTGCTATCGCCTGATCCCCGCTGCACCTGCCCCCAGTCGCCCAACTCTCATACACTTCTTTTGTTGTTGTCAGAGCCTTCTCCTCTTTCTCTCTGTTGTCATATCCCTCCTTAGCTGTCACATGCTTACTGTCAGCACCACCTTAATCACCTCCACCTGCTGCCCAACCCGAGTCCATCCTCCTCGCCATCGCCCTAGAGGGATCTTGTGTTGGTTATTATGTACTTTCGGTTTTGATGAACCTTCGTTGTAATTTTCTGAATTTCAACAATTCACTTCTTTTGTAGTTTGGGTTAACTCTAGTTTTGGTGGCAACAGATCTAGACACGAGACAGGCATGACAAAAGGCACTTCAGGATATTAGGGTCAATACCTTACCACCAGAACCATCACTGTGCGGAGAGGCTCAGGTTACCCCCACTGCATATCTGGTTAAATGAATCGTGGATGACTTCGGGAGCATTCAACAGCAAAGGCAAGACACGCAGACTCAGTTCAACTCAGTATTAAACTCTCATAATATTAGACCGATGTGAATGTTTGCTCTTAAAAAGATACTCAGTTTTCTTAGGGGACGGTGCAGTTGTCAGTGAGATTCGAGTGCTACTAGGATTACATAAGAAGAGTAAAAAAGCTTCGATGAATGAAACCAAAACTCCCCCGACCCTGGGAGACTGACGCGGGGGCTTGGGGCTGAGCCGACCCCAACGGTTTCAACATGAAAAGGCTCGGTCCAGCATTAGGCTAGACCAGCCCCTCCTCCCTCTTTTCATTTCTCGCATATTCATCTTCCATTTATATGTGTGTTTGTTTTCCTAGGGTTTAATTTTTTATCTTTATGAGTTCATATTCTGTCCAACTCACTGTAGGCGGTTGTTTTCCCTTCTAGGATTGTATCCGAAAGCGACGAGGTGTTCAGGCTGTAACTCGTCGAAGGTGATGATCTTATCCAAAGGTTCCCAGGAGTGTTTTGGTTGTAACTAGATACCGCAGAGATACTAATCATCCACCAACTTCTCGCAATCCTTCTGCCTTGAATCCTGCCGCCAACCCTTCGTTCTTTCCTTGTCTTAACATCAAGATCTGGCCTCCCTCAGTACCACAAACTCTTGTTCCCGATCTGTCTGCCTACTGCTCAGTTCTTGTGTCTCTCCTAGTCAGTGGTCAACCACTCAACTGCTCAACCGTCTACCTTGATCATTCTTCCTTGGTTGTCCCTGTTGCCCAACTCCACTCTATTGCCACTCGACCCACCTAGGTTGTCCCTGTTGCCGCCCAACCTTCCTACACTTCTTCTGTTGTCACAGGGCCTTCTCCCCTTTCTCCCTTTTGTCGCATCCCTCCCTTGCCGCCAACACCATCCTAATCACTTGCACTTGCTGCCCGGCCCAAGTCCATCCTCAACACCATCGCACTATAGGTATCTCGTGTTAGTTGTCGTTTATTTCCTATTTTGGCAAGCCTTCGTTGTAATCTTTTTAATTTTACCAATAATAAATTTATTTCTTTTGTAGTTGAGTTAACTCCGGTAACAAGAGTTTTATTTAAAAGAAATAATGAGCTCGCCTGGAAGACTATGCACATGCAAATCATGCAAGATCACCATTAGATAATTGCACAATTCTTAGAGAAAATATGGTAACATGGGGCAAAAAATAGAATATTATGGCTAGATCTATTGTTGACTCAAAATTTTGGGCATGCTTAAAAACTTCGTGATTAAGGATAAAATCATCCTAAACCAAACAGGTCAGCGATGAAAAACATTCATAATCTAGTTCCATATGATCAAGTTAAGGGAAAGCTAGAAAAAGACTTAATTTGTATATTTTTAAGTGCCCTCAAGAAGTCAACTAGCATATGCTTACACCAAAAAGAAATCAGAGCAATGCTTCCTGAAATCATCTCAAAACTGGGAGTGGGAAAATTTTATTCTCTATCTAAGAGAGGAGTGCTGGAACCCATAGATTCCTGCCAAAGGAGGAAACTAGGATCCCGTAGATTCAAGAAAAAGAAGGAAATTAGAATCCTATAAATTTGTATTAAGGAAAAAATCTAAACCATGTTTAGGCGCTAAAGCCTATTGATCAGCATTGGATTTAAAATTTATATAGTTACAGATATCTTCATGTTTAAATATAAATTAATTTACTTATTTTCCTTTACGATCAATCTGCATATTCCCTTGTATCAAATACTTTGTGGGGCAAGAAGAAATTTTTGCCTGCTTGTGTACTCCACACCATCTACCTTGATCCTTCTTCCTTGGTTTCTCCTAGCTTCTTCGATGGTACCTGACATCTTTGAACCAAAGAGAATAGGGTTGATACACGCAGTGAGCATTTGTAGAGCTGAGGTCCGAACAAGGAGCAGCTCTTAACAAGCTTCTAGGATGGTAGACTCATAGAAATAAGAGGGGAAAGAAATGAACAAAATTCCACATCAAAAAGGGAGAAAATGATGATAGATTATATCAGTAAAAGCATTAGGTCATAATATAAAAAGCATTTTTGGTGCAACAAGTCCCACATCCTAAAAACTCCGCAGTTGAGCATTGTTGTAATGAAGAACTCCTAGTATAGATGACTAAATGAGAAATTACATGAGAAGGGGACAAAAACTTGAGGTTCAGCCTAGCATGGAACACATTAGACCAAAGCATGTAATAGCTTACATTGTAAGGCCTAGAGCAGAACGATTGATATTAGAACCTAAACTCCTTCAATCTGCTGTGTAGTTCAAGGACGTCAAGTGAAAGTTGGTAGGCCAGTGACATCCCGAATCCAAAGATAGCGAACCAGCTAAGGCTCCCACAAGGAGCAATCAAAAGACTTTTCGAGAAAATGAGGATAGCAACGAATAAAATCTCACATAAAAATAGGAAGAAAAAATATTGGGCTAAAGAAGAGTTGGGCCATAATATACATGGCACCTTTTGATGAAACAAATAAATTTTGCTTGAGAACTCCACAATTAAGCATACTCATAATAGAGCACACCTAGGACGGATAACCATTTGGGATACTAAATAAAGAAGTATAATACAATAAGATTCAACCAAATATGAGACAATTTAGGCTAAAATCAACAATCCCTTGGATAACATGGCATGATGCTTTAAAACAACAGGTTTTTCTTCTCTCTTATAGGTTCGAGAAAGAGAGAGAAACTAAGGAAGAGAAAGTCCTAATGAAAAAAGAGATTATAGCAGACTATGGGGTTTATGAAAAAGGTCATTATCAAAATTCATAAGGCGAGGAGGAGCCTTGCAGCCAGCTAGAGCAAGAGGGAGGTTATTTGAAAGAAAAAAAAAAGTTTGATAAAACTATTCTGAATACAAAACAAATATAAATTCTAAATTCTAATAGATTTAAATTCAGAAAAACTATTTTGAATCATACCAATCATGCTTTCATGTGGTCTATCACCCTCGAATGGATGAAATATTTATGGAAAGAATACTAAAAGGCTGTTTGAGTAATTTAACTAGGTCTTCTCCCTCCTATTCATTTTCCCCCTTTAAATTTAAGTGTGTAACAAACTCCGCTTCCTTCTTGTGATGTGGACAACAACTTGTTGAAAATTAGAATATTTTCATCCCTTGAAAGGTTCACAAGATCTTCTAGAAATTTTAACGGTCCTCCACGAAGTTTTCCATAGAATGTTTATTGTTTTTTGGAAGGTTTTAAAAGCTTCTCTTAGATGTTATAGAAATTTCTCCCAAAATGTGAGTTGCATTTCGATTGGATATTTTATATGTATAAGCCTACTAGAACAAGAACAAAAGATGGAAGACAATATCAACCAAAGCTTCTATTGATTTTCTAGAGGGGAAATGAAATAGCCTTTGGATTTGTTAAGTCTATCATGAGTCAGTTTCGTATGATTGTTGCACATAGGAAAAGAAACATATTAAACAGCCAAAGAAATTGAGAATTGACTAAATTCTATGTGAATGCATTGTAAAGACAATCAAGTGATTGCCATAAAAACTTTATTTTGCTAAAAATCAATCCAAATCGAGTCCACCGTGATATAGCAAAATATCTCAGCAACATTACAAAAAAAGAGATCAAAAAAATAATCCACCGTGATATCAGTAAACACCCATGTAGAAAGGATGCTTACCATGCTGAGCTGCTAGACCCCAATAGCGAGCTAACCAACATCGCTTGAGCACCACCTCTTCCTATACGTTAAGAGATTTTAGAGAAATAAGGAGAACATACCGTTTGTTTTATTAAATGAAAACCCAAATTTTGAAGAGAAAAAACTGCAAAACCATCTCTTCTTCAGTCAATATCATCCTTCTTGTCATGGTGTGAAGAGCCTTTGCTTCACATTCAGTTTCTCTGAGTTTTTCAACAGCAGTAGCAGCCTCCCCTTTGACAGACTGTTTAAATTAATATATATATATATATAACACAATGATAATTAGAAGATAATCAAATAGCTTTATTAGTAATAAGTTGCTAGTATTGTCAAACCAAAATGATAATTTTTGGTAAGAAGTACCAACGCCATTTGCCGAAGAGCTTCTATTTCCCCATCTCTCCCATCATTCATTTGACTGGAAGCTTTAAGATAAGCCTGAATAATAATACATTTTCATTTCTTAAGTGCAAAAATGAAGATGACAACACATTGCATATCTTAAGAAACTCAAACTGTTGCGCGTATAATCAGATCAAGTCAGGACACATCTGAAATAAAGCCAAGAATTACTTCTATGGCTTTGAATGGATGACCACACCGCTTGATATCATATTAGTAAAAATGGTAAAAGGAAAGAGCCACAAGCAATTTAAAGGCTCGCATTTTTTAAATGAACAGCATCAATACATCTTCTAGGTACAACCACAAGAAATGAGTAAAATCTCAAAATACGCTCCGAATATTTACAAGATTACCTATTAAATTAATGGAAAAATCAAGAAAAGCACTCTCAATGGAATTTATTCAAAGTTGATTTTTTAATCTCCAATGCAATGAATAAGCCTGACCTGATCCATGGTAGGCTTCTTATTGTAGGGTCAACAAAGAAATCGTGCAAGCATCCACAGCCACAAACCGCCCAATCTCAAATCTTGCCCGCTGACATACAGCACACAGCTCATAGGAACTAAAGCAATGAGATTAAGGGTAAATTTTTTTCCTAGTGCTGCGAACTTCTAAAATGAAGAATCCATAGCATCATTCTCATTCCAAGGTCGTTCAAGTTAACAAAAATGCTGTTCATTCATACGAGTGAGCCTTCTAGTTAGAAAGCACCTACACTTCAGTGCCAGAATTGATGTCTATCCTGTCGGTTTCAGGCATTTAAGGATTGGCAGAAGTTTGGAAGGATTTATGCGAGCCTTTCTCAAATGGGATGATAGCATTATGTTGAAAAAAAATTTATGACAAGATAGTGACTAGAAAAGCAAAATGATCAATCTGTTGTAGATATGCACTGACACTGTTCTAGGGTTTCTAGAATGTGTTTGAGGATCAATATAATGGAAGAAATGTTGTAGGATGACAACAAAATGAGAAAATGGGAAGTGGTTGAAGATTGAAAAATGGAAAAACTAATTCTGGTTGCTGCTTAGACATGAAAATAACAAGAGATGCAGCAATTGGTAATGTAGATGAGGCTCGGATGTCTAGGGAGATTCACTACCACTTCTCAAACAAGTTGCAGGCACGCCACTTGCAAGAAAAATGATACAACACTCCAACCAAGATTAAACAGAGAAAATAATCTTCAAATAATATAAATCAAGCAAGAGATCCCCCAACCAAGTTCTACATAACATATTTAAAATAAGGCAAAAAGAACTGTAATCATAACTCAAAATAAGGAATATAGAGGCCCTATGAGACTCATAACAGTAAAATTGAGAGAATTTTCAAGCTACAGAACTCTCACGATGGGTTATTTTTGTCTTGTTAGTGCGCCCCCCTAGGCAGGGATGCTCCAGCTTAAAGCACATACAAATATTCTTTACACAAAAGTATTCACACACTAGATAAGAAAAATATAGCTCAATATCACGCTTCAGGATTCTCTAAAATGCAATAACCATGCCACTAGGCGGTGCAATCCAATCTTATGAAAGGATTGATTAAAAAAAAGACATGAATTATGAATTATGGAAGAAAATACCACCCTAAATAAAAGTTTTCCCCATATTAATGTTGTTTTATCTTTATAATTGGCCTGTTAGCCTGGGTAAACTGATGTTTGAAATATTAATAATTTGATGATAATAAATTTTATGTATTTGCCGATTAATGATTTACTAAGTGCTTCCACAATTAATTCACCAAGTAGCCAAATCATAAAACGATAATCATATTCACTGTACCAGCTAGAGCTCTGACTAGTTGTTGAAGACCATAACATGTTCAACTCAAGAAGATTTAAGCACAAGTTCATGCTTCTAGTTTGCCAGTCAAGTTAATGAATTTAAAATACTTATCAATATAATTTGATTGAGTATGACATACCAAAGGCATTTATTAAAAATATAATTTTATAAATTGCAATTTTTGGAATTTAATCGGCAAGATTTTAAGTTTGTTTGATTTATTCACAATTTATGTATATGTGAAAACCGATTCATTATTTTACCTTTTGTGATCATGTGTATAAATTAATCATACGCATGATCTTAATCAATTCATTTTTTAGCAAATTTATTTTGATCCTAAACTTCTTATCCTATTCATTAAATTTGTTAAATTTGGATTTCCTTGATAATTATATTATTATTTACATAATTAAAGAAAACGAGCTTAATGATTACTCAATCAACCATCCTTAATTAAGTTTTATGTAGTCAATTTAATCACTCAAAAAAATTCAATTATTTCATTAAATTTCTTTAATATGGATAATTATATATTAATGATTATTCATTATTGATTATCTTCTAGTTGATGAATGAGGAATTCATTTTGATTATATTTTCATGTTAATTTAATTTTTTTTGTAATATCACATACTTTGCTTTAGATTTATTTATGTTAAATAAAAACTCTTAATATTTATAATCATTATAATTACCCTAACTGCACCAAACAGTTTCATTGGCATGATAAATGTTGGGTGGATTATGGGCTGAATTCTAAAAGATTTCTTGTGTGTTTTGTTTTAGGAACTCTCTGATACTAGAACTAATAGGAAAAACAATTGAAACACAAAATAAATTTTTATTAATAGGGAAATAGGTTACAGCACAACGCAACTGAACACGACACAAAATATAAACGACGCAAGCAAACACCTCTAAGGTGTATTCTAAGGGCGGTGGAGGTCAGCTAGGTGGATCGTGATGATTGGCAAGGGTGGTGGCAACAAAGAAATGTTGATGGCAGCGAGGGAAAAGTGCAGAATTGTAGGACAACAAGTATGGAGGGTCATGGATGATCGGCGACAGGGAGAAAGGTGGCTGGAAGGTGTTGAACAGCAAGGGAAGTGGTAGTACGGTGAGGAACAGTTTGTTGGGAGTGATGGAAAGAAGGATGGCTGACAGCAAGATAAGGCTGCAGGTATGGGGCGACTGGGTGCAGTAATGAAGGAGAGGGAGACTGACGGCTGAGGAGAGGGGAGAAGGGTTGCGGAAGGTGAAAAGGAAAGTATACAACACCACCTCGGAGTAAGATACAACCGGAGCACCAAGAAATCAAAAATCAACACACAACAAAAGCTAACCCTAATTCAGCAAACAACAATACAAACAGATTCTCACAAAAAAGGAAGGAGAGGAGGGCAGCCGGCAATGCCATCCTTCCAAACATTGCTCGAGCCAGGCAGGAGATGCGAAAGGAAAGCCGCAAGTACCGTTGCTGCTCGATTCCTCACAAATCCTGGACTGTGAGCCCTCTGGACCAATCCCCTATGCCAACCGATTTAGCCGGTTGAACTGTTCCCCGCATCCGTACCAGAAAATCCCGCACCTACGTCAGTCTCCCGAGATTGGGAGAGCTTCAACCTTATTTGTCGAAGCTTGTGGCTCCTTCTCTCTAATCTTGGTGGCACATAGGTTCCACTGTCGACTACACTGTCATCCCAAGCATCGAAGAAGTCGGCACCACTTGAGCGGCCATGGCCCTATGGATTCGCTCTCCTGAGGTTGTGGCTCATAATTGCACTGTTGGATCTTCCCAAGGTAACCCGCAGTCGGGTTAATCTGATGTGCTGTGTGAGCAGCTTGAATCTTCCCCTCCGGTGGTGGAGCTGGTGGTACGGTGTCAGCTGTGAGACCCTGACATCCTCTCTGACGTAATTGTCTCGTGTTTGAAGTAGATGCCTTGATCCTCTCGTCCTATGTCATCACTAGAATTGGCCCCATTGGCGCTGCTCTGCTGGTAAGAATTCCCATGATCCCGGGCTTTGTCAAAGAAAGTAGAACGATGTGTTTCCCCTCCTTGTTAAATGACCATGTGTTTCTGAATCCATCGTAATGAGTCCTCTGGTCAAACTGCCATAGCCTTCTCAAAAAAAGTTGGCAGGCATCCACAGGGACAACGTCACACCACACTTGATTCTGCAGTTGGCCACCAATCAAAAACCATACTAAGCATCTCCCATCAATGTTGACTCGATTCTCCTTCTTCAACCACTTCAGTGAATATGGTTGGGAATGCCTCTAAGTTGCGAGTCTCAATGTCTCCATCATCTATGTTGATGTCACGTTTTTTATGCTCCCACTGTCGATAATAAGACTACAAACCTTTCTATTCACTGTATAGCCGGTGTAAAAAAATGTTGTGGCGAAGCCACTGCGGATCCCTCGTGTCCTTGGTTTGCATAATTTGTCAAATCACAAGTGCTTCTCTCTCCTCTCGTGGCAGTAGATACGTCTCACGTTGTTCCCCAGCTTTCTTCCCTTCGCTAACCTCCTCCATGGCACCCTAATATGTGAGTATAACTACTCTGCTCGTGGAATAGCTGGAAGCCATGTGACCGTAGCCAAGACATCTGCACACTTTCGGGTTGATACTGTGTTGAAGAAGCTACCTCTCTCATGTTTCTTTCCGCTTTGATCCGAAGTATCACTCTCTTGCCCGGGTTTGCTTGTGTCTTCCGGGGTACCCTTGTCGGTCATTGTAATTATAGGAGATTGTTTGTCTGATGGTTGCTGCCTAAAGGATGACTATTGTTTGCTCTGCTTCTGTTGTCTCACCACCTTCAGGACTAGTGTTTGGACATCCCCGAGTGTCCAATACGGTTGTAGTTGCGCCACATTGCTAATAATAGACTTCAGGCTCTTAAGATATTTGTCTATTGTGTTCTCCTCCGGCTCCGTCCAATCACACTTCATTTGTAGATGATCAAATTGTTTCATGAACTCTTCTACTGACAGATGACTCTGCTGCAGGTGATGGAGCCTTAAAAACATATTCTGGTGGTAATGGATTAAGAGGTATTTTCTCTGCATTGGTTTCTTTATCTTCTCCCACTTGATAATCTTATCAATGTCCTATCCTTTCCTTTGCCTTTATAAGTTCTTCCACTACAAAGAAGCAATCTTCTTCAATTATATTGTCGCTAATTTGACCCGCCTATCTGCTGACACATCTTTATACTCGAAGAACCGCTCGAAACTGTAACCAATCAATGAATTCCTTAGGATCCATACCTCCTTCGAACTCTGACAGATCTACCTTGATGTCGAAGTCTCTGTGTCATCTAAATGACATCTCTCTGTGGGCCTCCCTCTAAGGGGAATTCAGAAATCCCTCTCTAGGCCTCCTCAGATATTGGATTTTGAAACGTCGTGGCATGTCTTCTTCATCGTTGGAATTCTCCCTATGGAAGGGATTCAGATCTTCTTCTATTTCTCCCCTTTGACTCTCCAGACGTCGGTCGAGGGTAACATCTTTTGGTGTTAACTATTTAATTTTCGCAAGTTGCTGTCGAAGACGACGAAGCTCTCACCATATCTCTTCCCGAGTAGGCTCGGGCATATTCCTCATTGGTGACATGGCTTTGGTTTAGGTTTTGTGAGAGAAATTGTTGGGTGGAGGTGAAAGAGGGCATGTGCTATTTATTGCAGGTGCAGAAAAGCTCATTAGGTTTGCTGATTTTGAAAATCAACAAAGGGAAATTTGGGGATTGAGTTATGGTTTAGGAATAGTAAAGAAAAAATTGGTGGAGGGGAAAGAGGATACTAGGAACCCTAAGATAAGATTAGGGTTTGGCTAGCTCTGATACCAAATAATATTGAAACTAGTAGAAAGAATAGTGGAAACACAACACAAACCTTTATTAATAGAGAAATAGAGTTACAACACAACGCAACCAGACGCAACAACAGAAAACATAAACAACACAAACAAACACCTCTAAGGTGTAGAGATCTGCTAGGCAGATTGGGATGGTTGACATGGGTGGTGGCAGCAAAAGAATGTTGATGCCAGCGAAGAGGTGCAGAATTGCAGGGACAACAAGCTTAGGTGACCAGCGACGTGTGGAGGGGTGGCTGAAAGATGTTGGACCGCAATGGCAACGACAGTGGGGTGAGGAACAGTCGATTTGGAGTGCTCGAAAGGAGGGAGGATGGCAGTTGGGTGCAAGAATGGAGGGGGAGACTGACGGCGGAGGTGAGAGGAGGAGAAGGATTGGGGGAAGGTGAAAGGGAAATAATACAACATCACCTCGGAGTAAGATACAACCGGAGCACCGCCATCTCCTCGGATACAACCCTAAAATAGGGAGAACGGGCTTCACAAAACAATATGATGAAATCAACAAACAGCAAAAACTAACCCTAATGCAACAAAGAAATAACATAAATAGATTCCCACGGGAAAGATAGAAAAACAAGGAGAGGAGGGCCCTAGAACAGGGAGAACAACTCCACAAAGAAATATGGAATTAACACACAGCAAAACAACAATATAAATAGATTCCTACGGGAAAGACAGAGAAGGAAGGAGAGTAGAGTAGACGGCAATGTTGCCATCTCCAAACATTTCTCGAGTTGGGCGGGAGATGCGAAAGGAAAGCCGTAAATTCCGCTGCTGCTCGATTTCTATGGAATACTACACTAGGCCCCTTGGACCTATCCCTTATTGCACCCGCGTCACTCTCAAGCGTATATATTCTAGACATAATGAGAAAAAAACTTAGGAATTTGAAAAACTTATGAGAACTTGATAAAATCATATAGAGTTGTTTTTATGAAAAAATTGATGTGTTCAAATTGCTCATCCAATAACCTTTACTTGGATCTCTTTAATTAATAATCTATTTCTCTTTCAAACTATAAATTATTATACTTTATATTTTGTATAATCTACTCGAGAGATAGTGCCATATTTTTTAGTTGGTGACTATCTTTGTTCACCAACAAAGTTCCAAATAACATTGCATGGGTATTTACTATAATCTTGTTGTGTCTAAATCACGAAGGACTCGAAGAACTCTAGGCTATAAAACTTGGGTTGAGTAACTCTTGCCAAATTAAGAAGTGGGTGTTCTTAATTTTGAAGAAGACGAATGTGGCATCTCTCCACTAGCTCGAGGCGTAAATTTTTACTCATCATAGCCAGTTTTTAGAGAAATCCTAATCTGGATGGGGATTACACATGGATGTAGGGTGATTTATTGTTTAGTAATGTAAAAATCTGTGTGTTTTTTGCTTAGATTTACAATTATTGTCCATTTACTTCATTGATTTTTGCCACATGCCAATGAAGAGATTAATGTGTCAAGTGTTTCGTATGTTCTAGTTGTTAAGTAAACTTCTTTGACTGACCTTAACTGTTAAATTGCTAGCCTATGGCATTGCACTGCTTTTTATCAACATCAGCTATTTTTTTGTGTGGATACATGTGACTTTGGTGTATGAAAATCTTCAGTAATGCATAACTTATGTAATTGTGCTAACAAGTTATAATATTCACTTACTCGTTCAAATACACACCCCTTAGATCACTAATGTTATTTATTTTGTAAGTTGAGTTTGTTGATCAATTGGGTTTGTGCTACTCAAGGGTCAATTATTACAGTACATATCTTCCAATCATTCGCAATAGCATAATCCATCCAATACTCTAATCTCTAAGATGCACGGATGCTTCCAAATAGCTTAAATGTCGATTTTGACACATGTAAGGACTAGGCTATGACACGTGCTGGCACTTCAAAACTTGTTTCAAAATTTTTTAGTGTAAAAATCAACTCCAACACTTACCAAGCATGACGGACTATGGGCAGAAGAGAGGCACGATATGGGCGCAACACAACTCAAAATAGCAGAACTTAAAACCGAAACTTATGAAGGAATAAATGCTAGCAGTATTACATACATTAAGTTCCCTAGCTATCACGACAAAATCTTACTACCCCTCTTCTTCTTGCATCACCACTTCAATTGAATGAAACCAGATCGTGTTTCGCCACTTCAGCAGCCATCTATAGTATCCATCTGTTATTTTTCAAAGTCAAAGGCAATTGAAGATGATTGTACAAAGCCAAAGAACTTTAATCAAAGCCAAAGCCATGCCATTCCCTTTGAAGTCAATATATTATCTTCAAAAGTGAAGCCATGCCAAGTCCTTGAAAGTCAGTAATCCAATTCAGCTGAGGCGTATCATGTCGAAACCTTTGAAGACATATTCAGACCCTTTGAAGTCAAAGTTGAAGCTGAAGTGATAGCCATGCTCATGTGCACTAGTAAGCTATCTCAACCAACCTTGAAATCAAGTCCATGTCGCTGCATTCTCTTCTTAACGTCGTAATGATGGAGTCAATGTTACAAAATCAACAACTAAAAGAAATTAAAAAAAAATCTTCCCAACCAGCACGTAGGCGTTTACATGACTCATTGTTATGCATTATATTGCTTTTCAATATCATTTAAATGAGACCACAATGTTGCCAATATTTTATTTGGCTTCCTTCATCTGTTTTTAATTTTCTGATAAGCAATTTTGATCATAAGAAAATACAATAACAAAAATATTAATATAAGTACATTCATATTGTCATTTAAAGACTTGGTTATTAAATAGCTATCATACTTATTGTAAAATTATAAATATAGTTTAGTATAGAATATTAAAATTACATATTTCATGTTAATAAATTATAAAATATAACATATCCATGACGTGGAGTGTACTGTTTTTTGCAGCTATGACATATCACCATGTCCATGTCATGTTTGTGCTCATCTTCATAGTCCAGCATATATTTTTTAGTGTTTGCTTGTACAATTGATTGATTAATTATTTAATTTTAAATGTTTTATTTCGAGAGATTGGATTGGTTGACTTTTGAAAGAAAATTATGAAGTGAACATTGCACTTATACTCCTCTTTTATCAATTGCACTGAAAGCTAATTCATAGATATATCACAAAAACATGATCTGAAGAAAACTGCTACAGCCAATCATGGAGGTTATATTAATGCTATATATAGGTACATGCATTCCATTAGAAGAGCAAAACATGGTGATCATGAGGCTGTCATACCTAAACTATCATAAAAAACAAAATCAAGAGCTAAATTTTTGGCTCGTCTAAAGCCAGTTGATAAATATACAGTCTAGCAGTTACCTCCCTTTGGCGAAGAGCTGCCTCCTTCCTGCAAATGGATTACATTAGCAGACATGTTTGGGACATGAGAAATCATGGTGCTTGAAAGTAAACCAAAGACAACCTGCTAAGTAACCGGGCTTCCAAGGATACCCCTTCTCCTAGAGAAGCAACCTGCAAATAAAACTGTTAAATAAAAACAAATAATCTCAAACAAGCTGCAAAACTTTACTGATATGTTGAAACCATATGACCGAACATGAATGGTTGCAACTAGACGAAGAGGAAACATGTTCTATTACATCTGTTGCACATTGAACTTCTAAACATGAACAAACAGTCTCATTTAAGCTCACAGACTTGACTGACAATGTTATTGTGCATGTAAGGTTGCCAAGAATACATCAAAACTGCAGGATAAATCACAAGTGAAAAACACTTCGTATAAGATATTTGATCTAGTTTGAAAAAAAAAAAATTTCTAGATTTGCACCAAATTGCTCATTAAATTTGCCTAAATTTGATCTAATTTGATTAGCATTAATTTGAACTGTTTTCTTTAATAGGTTGAAAGTTTGAGCCGACCCATTGTTAATGATACAGGTATGAATTTTAAAGAGAGTACAAAGAAGGATTAAATTTGATTATTTATGGAAAAAAGCTCATAAAGAATTTAGCTGCCCTCGCCTAATAGAATTTATTTATGCAATGACTTTGAAGTATACCTAATAAGTCATCAACAAATTCCCAACATTCAGCACGACTCTCGAGGCATGATACGGACTCAAGATAATCTTTGGAGCAAATAATGTTTGAGCTTTGATAAAAAGTCATCCAGAAGTCCGATTTCAACAAATTTACAGTCAAACTGACCGATTCGATGAGATAGACCCAATGATACTAAAATTGGACTAATTTGAATCAAATCAATCTCAGATCAAGTCATTAAATCACTTTTAAAAGCTTCTCGATCATGTCAAGACAAATCCGACAAGCTCAAGATCGCACAATTCTAACATTGTTAAGGCACTCAAATTTCCATAAAAAACCGTATGATCAAAGGAACCTTTCTGAACCGCCCGATCAAAGTGGTTCATATTCTAGCATTAATTACACTCAGGACTCTATAAATAGAACCACACCCCTCTTATGAGGGAGGAGGAGAGCTTGAGGCTAGAGGAATAGTTTGAAACTTTGAGAAGAAGCTAAAGTCTAGCATCACTAATGTCGTCATCGACTGCTGCCGACTGTCGTTGACCACCAACGACCACCACCTATCGGCCGTCATCTATCGTTATCGGTCATTGTTCATTCCTTGCAGCAAATCTATACACACGTCAACTTTGTAACTTGGGAGACCTAACCCTTTCCCCGCCTGTAGAAGAAGTGGTTGCAACTGCAACATCATTTTATAGTGAAACTTTTTAGTTAGGTCGGGCCCCACGTTTTTTCCCTTTACGGGTTTTCATGTAAAAAACTTCTGATGTCACTACCGGTTTTTTTTTTTTTTGAGTGTGAGTCGGATTCTCGTGCAATGATAAGACAATAATTTATTATTTTTTTTTCTTTTGAGTGTGAGTCGGATTCTCGTGCAATGATAAGACAATAATTTATTATTTTTTTTTCTTTTGAGTGTGAGTCGGATTCTCGTGCAATGATAAGACAATAATTTATTATTCTATTGTCGCGAATCTTCTAGCATACATCAATAATTATAAGTAGTCCTTGATCAAATAACATGCATAAAGTTATTTGTGTTCACACATGTATATTATTATATATTGTTAAGTATTATTTTAAATAGAACATATAATATAAATTGTTTATATGTAGTAATACATCACAATGTTCCATACTACAAAATGATCCTAACTCTACTTGCATTTTGCACATTAATAATTCCTTTTGTGTAAATGAGTTCATGTACTCTTATAAGTGTTTTAATTATATATTTGCGCCTACATATATGGAATGTGTATGCCCGTATTCAAACTTTTATATTTGTATAAATAAATAAAAATCTATATACATGCAGTGATATATATATTTTACAATTTATGTAAGACTTTCAAATATGTACGGTCGGTAAGTAAATGAACTAAATGCATAAAACTATGGATCGTTTACTTAGCATGCCAAACCAAAAACATGTGAAAAATGACGAAAATAACGTGAAAAATCAGATTGAGAAAAAATCACAAAACCAAAAATATAGCAGAACACACAGATTTACGTGGTTCGGCAAATTTCTTACGTCCACGGAGCTGCAGAGGATTTTCTGCAGAGGATTTTATTACTTGAAGAATTACACTCGTCGATCACATCGACGGTCACAAGAAAAATTCTCTCTTCCTCTCTCTAAACCGAGAACCACACCGAGAAGAAACACAAAGGGGAGTTGGAAACCTCTGAATCAACTTATTCACCTGCAAGCCTCCTCTCTAACTACGACCAACAGGGCCAACTAGAGGAACACCGAAGACAGGAATTAGGGAGCGCTTAATTCATTGCAATTTCAATTCCAGCAGAAGCTTTTAATTCCTTCATATTCTTCAGCCCATTAAGGCAACTACCTTAATTGGCATGATTCCTAAAGCAGAAGCGAGGGATTAACATAAGAGGAAGAGGCGGGATCCTTCGATGGAAATCTGAGGAAGTGGGATCCTCTATAGGAACAGTAAGGCATCCAGCAAAGGAAAGTATTAAATATATTTAATATCTTGCCAACGATGCAGGAACGGTCCAAATATGGATGAAGTGAGTCGGGCTCCACGTTACCTAACAATTCTCCCACTTGGAGACCGGAACACTGGCTGCATTGTACTTTTCCTTAACGTGATATCATTCACCTCTGCAACTCAAGGCTTCTATCTTCATGTTGGAAGACCAACTGAAGTCAAGCACAATTTTAATTTCTCAAGAGTTAAACCCTTAGTTTGACATATCAGCGTCAACGTAGCATTGTACCTCCAAGCTCTTTCGTAGGTTACTCATGTATCTGTTTATAGCTCCCACTGCATGAGCAATATCTTGCATCTGCTGAAGTCTTTTTCAACAAATCTAGACTTGTACCTCTTACTGCCATCAAGTGCAATCTTCACCCGGTACACACACTTGTTGTGCAATGTCTTCTTCCCTGGTGGAAGTTCTGTCAGCTCCCAAGTTTGATTCCCTGGCAGGAAATTTGTCTCCTCCTTGGTCAGCTCTCACTTGCTCGAATTGTCATATTGCAAGATTTCTTTATAGCTCTGCCTCAAGTGACAAAGCCTGCAATGTTGCAAATCTGTTGTGCTCTCTGCAATTGTAGTAGTAACACTGTTGAGTAAACATGTAATCATATATAGTGTATCAGTTTTCTTACTCTGAGCCAGTACTAATGCTCATTTGGTAACCTTCCAGGTGCTATCTGAGAACAAACACTACTGAATGACCACCCCCATTGAGTTGTCCAACAGAAATGAGGTTTTTCTTCAACACAGAAACGTATCTGACCTTTTGTAATGTTCATTTGCTCTTGTTAGGGAGTGCAAAATCAACGTCTATCATCCCGACCATGCCCAAAGTTTTTCCATCCGCCAGATATACATTCCTAAAGTCGCCTGCAATATAATTTCGCATCAACTCTCAGTGGGAAGATGTATGGAAGGAAGCCCCTAAATCCAATATCTAATCGTCAACAGAACTCTGAATTGTCAGCAATAGTGCATCTTGTATTTCTTCATTTACCATATTTGCGCTATTATTATTCTTCTTAGAATTTCTACAGTTCATTTTTATGTGGCCAACCTTGCCACAATTACAGTAGGTTGTCTGTTGACCAGACTTTGATTTTGATTTTCCTCTGTTTGAGTTATTGTCATGTGATCTCCCTCCGGAATCAACATTCAGTGTCGAACTCGAACCTGAGGACTCACCATAATCTTTTCGGCAGAATCTTTCCTACGTATCTCCTCAGTTAAAATCAAATCACGAATATCATCATATTTCAATGTAGATTTACCTGCATAACTGCTAACCGTCATCCTTATGATTTTTCAGTTATTTGGCAATGAAGTCAACAATATCAGCGCACGTATCTCATCATCAAAATCAATTTTAACAAACAAAAATTGATTTGTGATGGTATTGAAATCATTCAGGTGTAAAGCAACAAACACATATTTTGTTATCTTCAAGTTAAATAACATTTTCATCAGGTGCACCTTGTTATTCGTCGATGGCTTTTCATACATATCTGATGAAGCTGTCATGGAAGCTGTCATGAGATGTCATGAGATCTGCAGTAATCCTCAATGACGTTGTGCCCAACGGATCTTGACAGGGTCAATCGAATAACCCTCAGAACCTGTCGATCCAACAGATTTCATTTCACCTCATTTATCTTTTCCGGCTTCTTTCCCAGTAACGGAAGATGAAGTTTTTTTCTCATAGAGGTAGTTCTCTATTTGCTTCCTCCAGTAACTAAAATCTGTGTCATTAAACTTCTCGATCTCCGATGTCATCACTTCGTCTCTGCTCATCGTTATTTCATAGATCCGAATCAAAGCTCTGATACCAGTTGTTGTGAAAAACGACGACAATATAGCAAAAAATCGGATCGAGAAAAAATCGCAAAACCAGAAATACAACAGAACACACAGATTTACATGGTTCAACAAATTGCTTACATCCACGGAGTTGCAGAGGATTTTATTATTTTAAGAAATTACACTTGTCGATGACCTCGACGATTACAAGAAAGAACTCTCTCTCTCTCTCTCTTCTCCTCTAAACCGAGAACCACACGGAGAAGAAACACAAAGGCGAGTTGGAAACCTCTGAATCAACTTATTCACCCGTAAGCCTCCTCTCTAACTATGGCCAATAGGGCCGAATAGAGCAACACCGAAGACAGCAATTAGGGAGAGCTTAGTTCATTGCAATTTCAATTCCAGCATAAGCTTTTAATTCCTTCCTATTCTTCAGCTCATTTTAGAAAGAAGGCTCATTAAGGCAACTACCTTAATTGTCATGATTCCTAAAACCAGAAGCGGGGGATTTGCAGAAGGAATTACAGCACTTTAGAGGAAGAGGTGGGATCCTTCGATGGAGATCTGAGGAGGCCAGATCCTCTATAGGAACGGTAAGGCATCCAACAAAGGAAAGTATTAAATATTTTTAATATATTGCCAACGATGCAGGAACGG